TAGACAACAAAAAGAATGACAAGAGATCAAAACAAAGAAACCAATAAAAAAAAAATAGACAACGAAAACAAAGCAAAAGAAACACAAAAACAAGAAATCACAGAAAACAAGAGAAACACTGAAAATAAAAAGAATAGGCGCACAAAATAAGTCCTAAACCTTCCCCGGCAACGGCGCCAATTTTGTTGTAAATATTTTTAACCGGAGTAGAACCCAAAGATTCGACACCGGGTCGTGTCACAAGGAAGGTCAGCTGGATTATTTTGCACGGTTATTCAACACACGAAAATAAGAAAAGAATTCCTAAACACTCTAATTCAAGATTGATAGTTTGATTTAACGACTACTAATAATAAAGCAAGTGATTAAGAATGCAAACAATGAATTCTGAACTTATCAATTAAAACACAAATTCCAATAGTTTAAAGGGACTAGGGTATCGGGGACAATCATATCCGGTTCTCAATACATTAAACGGGCAATCAATTACTCAGCTAATGAACAAACAATAACCAATTCATCTAGAAATTCATTCTCAATATCTCACGAAACAAGAGAATAAATATAAACGAGCAATTATCGAATTCATTAGCACATAGACAATACGTTACCGAACAAGTCTATTCTAAACAAGCCGAGGTCGATCGATTTCTCCCCTTTCGGTTCTAAAATCAATTAAGAAGATTAAATGATGATCAGACATTCAACCCTAGGTTAAGCCTAACTCATCTAGATCGAGCAATCAACATTCACATCAACGAAATCGAACCGGAACAATTATCCCCTACCCCTAGTTATTGAATTTAGCTACTCATAATCGATTCAACATCAACACATTCATTAACCCAAGCAAACATCATCATATCAAATAAGAAAAGAAATGCTTACGATTAACTTGAATCCAATGTCGAACAAACACGAGCAATCCGAAATCCAAAAGCTAGAAAAGGAGTTCTTCAATCCAAAAACTAATTCAAGATGAAAAGAGCAAGAAAAAATATGTTCTAAGGTGAAAAGTATCCCCAAAAACGAAGTCTGGATCTAGAAAATGACCTAAGCTTCAGCAAAATAACATTCCAAAATTCGATATCACTGAAATCGCGCAGTTGTTACGAAATAGACCTTAGCGGCGCTAAGGGTTCTTAGCGCCGCTAAGGGTTCTTAGCGCCGCTAAGGTGAAGGTTAGCTGCAGCTGTCTGTCCCCGTTACACTTCAAAGCGGCGCTATCAGCTATGGCCTTAGCGGCGCTAAGGCACCTTAGCGGCGCTAAGGCCCAGAAGATCAACATTGCTGCTTTTTCTTTGGTTCGTGCGCTCGTCTATGTCGCTCGGGTACTGCCCGAGCTGGGAACTCGACTTTTTCATGCCCGATGCTCGAACAACACACTTCCCTACTTGCCAGAGTGCTCGTCATCCAATCATCCTAAGACCTGGAACCAACACCACGGGAAAGGAAAACACGAAAAATGAAGAAAATAGGAACGAAAACAAAGAAAACACTAAACACACCGAAATAAAGATGAAAGCATAAGAAAAGACAAAGAGGACCGAAAATACCTACGAAAAGACCTAAAACGGGGGAAACGACACACAGGAAATCAACGAAAATAGCAACAAAAACGGGACAAACACTATTCCTTATGATCATATGAATTTTTTTTATACATATGTTTTTTCAATAAACTTTTTAAATGGTAATATTGACAATATAGACTTTGCTATAATATTTATATAGATTGTTAATTTTTTTATTTACTTCATTGACTTTTTTTTATTAATTCATCTTATTATGCGTATAGTCTAACTTTATAAATTATATGTCATTTAAATGTATCTATACTACTAATTTATAAGGTTTTACCATTTGGGGGAGCTAAATTTTTAATTTAATTATGAAACTAATTTTTCTTATTATTTTGCAGCTATAAGTTTGATGGAGTATGGCTGGAAATTAAACTACAAAAAAAAAAAAAAAAAAATTATTTTTTATATTGTAATGTAACATGATCTGTATTATAATATTTGTACTTATTATATTTATTAATATTTTTTATAACTTTAATTACTTATTCAATTCATAATATAAAAAAATAATAATATATAGTTTCTGCACAACAATAATGATTGTCACGTTTATATATATAGATGAGAATATTAAACATAAATGTGGGATTAACTAAAAAAAAATCTTTTTAATTTAGCCATTAACTAATTAGGTTTCACTAAAAAAATTTTCTTAAATGTGGGATTAATGAGTAGTTAATTAAAAAAATGTAACTCCTTTTGAAGGGAAAGTGAAAATGTTTTTATTAAATGTTTTATTAAATAGGATTAGCTAGTAATTATATATATATAGATTTGATGATATTATAAGTACGTACCGATCACTCAGTGTCTAACTATAACTAAATACTACTAAGACTAGCTCGTTCAGCAAATAACGTTATTTTTAGGTCAGGCAAAATTTCATTTTTGGTCCTATAACTTGGCCACAGTCCAAAAAACCACCCCTATATTGACCACTTTCAATTTTGGTCCTATAATTTGTCGATTTCATCATTTTTAGTCCTTTTTTATCCACACCTCGGATTAAAACGTGACGTGGCGAAATTAAACATGACATGGAGTGATTATGGCTTATATGGCGGGATTAGAAAATATTCTTTAAAACTAAATATTAATCCACATCAGCCTAAGTCTTTATTTGCAATTAAATAAAATTTGTAAAATTGCAAAATAGTCCATAAATTGATTAAATTTTCAAAAATGAGCCACTTCAATTCCTAATACTATTTATTCTTCACCCATCCGTTCCGCCGCTGTTCACCGGTTATCGGTCACCGGCCCTTTGCAATTCCAAACACTATTTAGTTACTTACATCTGTGCGTTCTATCCGTGTCTCGAAAAACCACAATTAGGGTTCATCTCCTCTTGGAAATACCCCAATTAGGGTTCATCTCATCTCTCTATCTACAAAAGGTACGAAATCTTCATCTTCTCTTCTCCCGATTTCCGCTTGTACGCCACCAAAAGCTTTTCATCTTCAACCCTTTTTCGCCTTAATCTACAGTGATTGATACCCATTTCGCACTTCGCCTAATTTAGGGATTGCTCAAATCCGCAGAGATCTCTGTTATACCTGCTGCTTCATTTCTATTCCTCTCAGGTGTGTGAGTATTGAATGAAAATGGAATAGATCTTGCACAGAGCTACTCGTACTTTTGTGTAAAAAGTGTTGCGATTTTGAGGCTCAATATGTTCAATTTTGCAGACTTTTTCCTGGAGAAGATGGAGCAACAGTGTTTTGAGAACATGGTTTTTATTTTCTTTTTAATTTCCACTTTGGTTTTATTTTTTTGATTTGTTTTTATTTTTAGTTTTTGCTTATTTCCATTTGGCAGAACCAATTTCTGGTTAGTCCATTTTTTAAAAATATAATCCAAGTGTTATTTCCATTTGGCAATCAGAATGCCACATCATGACAAAAAAAAGTAAATTGATCTGACTAGGCGCCACGTCACGTTTTAATCCGAGGTGTGGATAAAAAAGGACTAAAAATGATGAAATCGACAAATTATAGGACCAAAATTGAAAGTGGTCAATATAGAGGTGGTTTTTTGGACTGTGGCCAAGTTATAGGACCAAAAATGAAATTTTGCCTTTTAGGTCATTTTGTCTCTTTTATTAGAGGAAAAAATTGTTACTTCTTCTTTTTTTT